TTCTTGTACGGTTAGATATTTCAAAGGAAAGGATTTTAATGCGGTTTTCACCAATAGAGAGAGTGATTCAAGAGGCGGGTTTATATGTTTAATACAAGCATATTGTAGTAAAGCAAATTGGAGACTTTTAAAGATTTGTATTGTGATATCTTAAAAAACATGTTTGTGTGTGGTTACATTGCAAACGCTGGATAAACCTTACTAGATGGATCAAAATAATGTACTACGAAATTTTTTATCTTAAAAAAATCTATAAAAAAGTTGGCACTAGTACGAGTATATGTCTATCTCCTAATGATCACATCACATCAACAGCCTTTAATAGTCCACAGCTGGACATAAGCCTCTCCTGAGAAAGGAGGTTTTGGCCTACTATACCACGCTGGGCAGACGGGTTGGTATAGAGTTTGTGGCAAGTTTTCCTTCTACCGCAGTGCTGTTGACCAAAAGGAAGACTTAGGGATGACCTAGAGTAACTATTTTTATCTTTTACAAATTACAAAAAAATTATATGAAGCTATTTTTAAAAATACAGGATTATTCCTTATCCAATTAAATAGGTTAGATACGTTGTGCATTTAATGTAGATCAAAACTGCCCTTTCCGTGGCCGGGCAGGAGCGAAGGGGCCTATAAATATTGCTTAGAAAGAATTCCTGTAATTTAGTCTATCATAGTAATAGTATGATTAAAACTCCACACTGTCACCACATTAGTAGTATTAGTACTATCTACATTACACCCATGCGAAGCTGGGGCGGATCGCTAGTCATAAATATATAATAAACCTTCCTCTTGAATAATGTCTCTCTTTATGAAAACCGTATCAAAATCCTTTGCGTAGTTTGAAAGATCTAAGCGTTCAAGAACAGGAATCGAATTCATTTTTAGACCATGTAAAGACGACAGAATTTGCTTATGTGTATCATAAGCAAATTCTGTCTTATTTATTTTCTTACCTAATTGTCTTTTTTAGTTTGATTGTTGATATTCTTAGAGTTGTTTAATTGTGATCAAAAGATAATTAAGATTATTGATTAAAAATGGTGAGCTCTTAGATCATGGTTACATCATCATATCTAAAGTCCAACAGCTACCCTACAACGTACGTGTATGGACGTGTTTGTTGTTTGCTTTGAATTTAATAAAACAAAAATGAAATTGAACTAAATTAATGAGAAGTGTGGTGGTTGCGGTGCCGAAATATGTGATACTGAGTATATGAAGTGTTCACAATAAAAATGAGAGAAACCATATCATTTAAAGTGTCTTGCCTTGACAAACGAGAAGTTTGAAGCATTTACACTGATGTACAAAAAAAAAAGGGTGTGTCGAGAATGTACTTGCACTATTCCTAAGACGGATAACTCCAATACAAGGGTTCGAGGCAACATAGCATTTACACCGAGTAGTTACGTCAATATGGAAGGAGGTAGTCGTCGCAATACAAAACCTGTAACTACTACGGATTACGAAAAACAGGTTATAGAAGAGCTGCAGGAGTTTCGGTTAGAGATGAAATCTAGAATGGATGAACAAATGAAGGAGTACACAACTCTGACAAATAGATTTATAACTACAGAAACAGAATTACTCCGGTTGCGTCGAGTGAGATCAAGAAGAAAATACTCTCTATCAAATCTAATGCTGTTGGTTTTGATCAAGTCAGTTGACGCATGATCACAACAATCCTTGACCACATCTTACCAGTAATCACCTACATCATCAACTACTCCTCAGATTCCGGAATTTTCCCAACACTTTGGCGCAAAGCTTGTGTCATCCCCTTACCTAAAATTGCAAATCCCACACTCACCACATCCAATTTCAATTCTCCTCTTTCTCTCCAAGGTCCTAGAATCCTGTGTGCTCTAACAGTTTTCTAAATTCATATATAAAAATCAACCTGTTGAGTCCGTTGTAATCTGGCTTTAGGCCTGATCATAGCACTAGTTCCGCTCTCCTTAAAGTGACTGGCGATAATAGGGCGGGTATGGAGGACACAAAGGTTACCGTTTTGGTCCTGATCGACTTCTTAAATACCTTCAATACTGTTAGTCACGATATCCTGTTATCTATCCTTTCCCATCTTCTGGTCTCGCCTGAAGCACTGGAATGGTTCTCATCTTATCTTCAGAGACTCCAGCAGTCTGTTCGCGTCGATGAATCTTCTTCGAGCTGGTGTGATCTTGACTCGGGTGTCTCTCAAGGCGGTATTTATTTATTTAACTTAATGCACAAGTTGTACACAGGCGGACTTAATGCCCAAGGCATTCTCTGCCAGTCGACCTTCGGGTGATGTAGAAAAATGATGCTGTAGGTGCAAGAGAAAACAGAGAATTTGACTTGTTTATATTAAACTTATTAATTTAAGATAAATCTAACTTACATATATACACTATATACTATAAATAAAATACTATATTCATAACTACAAATATACATGTGCGTATTCTTTTCTCTTTATTATTTTCTGTGTATATTAATCTCTTGGAACTTCATTGTGCGTAACATCTGTATGCCGATGACCTTAAACTTAAACGCAGAGCAAGGTTGAAGATATTTCGATGACCATTAACATGGTCAACTGAGACCTGGAAACAATTAATGCGTGGTCTAAAAGGTTTTGTTTAACAGTAAGCCCCACAAAATGTTAAGCCATTGTAGTTGGAAGTCACCGATTGATTAGCAGAGTAGACATTGAGACTCTTCCGGAAATTATTTTTAACTGTTTGTCAATCGGTGAAAGATCTTGGCTTACACCTCGAATGCACACTATATTGGCGTAGCAAGTTGCAAATCAGTGCCAGAGGGTTACTGGAACACTTCGGGCTCTACGAGTATATCGCCTGAGATATTTCCTACCCGAAAATACCAAGACATTGATTAATTCCTTATCTTCCCCTTAATCGACTATGATTATGTGTGCTGTTATGACCTGAATGCAGATCATCTCGATAAATTAGACAGTCTTCTTCATATCTGTATTCAATTTATTCATAATCTCCGTAAATTTGATCATGTATCCGCTTTCCGTTCCCAGCTCAATTGGCTACCAACTACTAATTGGCTCACATATAAGAAAGTAGAATTAAAGCTCTAATAGAAAGAAATGAACAGCTAGAGGTGAATCTTAATATGAAAAACCAAAAGAGAATACAAATAAGAAAAATGAAATGTATAAAGAACCATCGCATTCGTATGCGAAAGTAATTAAAGAATATCTCGCAATAATGTCCCACAAAAGGCTTGTGTGGCCACAAAATTTACTAGCGTACTTGTGGCTGGTAGGACGCAGGAAATAAATTTTCTAGTTATCGTTAAGGGAAATGTGGAAATACAAAATGAAGATAAATGGACAGTGGTAAATAGAAAAAAAAACTCGATATCTAACTAGTAGGTGTATTTTTATGTACCGGACAGGTATGTGTAGCGACGGCGACAGCCGAGGTTGCTGGCAAAGCCGCGCGCCCTTACCAATCTCTTAAACCAGGCGCCACTGACGCTTGCACTTCACACTTTAAACCTTATAGTCAGCCAGATGGACATACTCTGTTGTGCTCTGAGTGAATTTACAAGAGTAGCGTTAAATGTTATTTGTTATAATATGAACCTGAAATAGGACAAGCCTGGCGGTCTGGTGGGCCGAGGGTCGGGGGTTCGATGCCCGCCTGGAACAAGTTGTAGGAGTGTGTGGGTTAGTAGGTGCTGTGTCTGGGAGTGGTTTCTCTGTGGTGTGTGTGTTTGGAAGTATATGAATGTGTTTATCGGTCCGTCGGCCATGATGCGGGCGGGATGAGCGAGGTTGTTAAAATTGTTAATGTAATCGGTATTATTTGTTACTATACCTACATGTTTTTAACAACGAATGACTACACTATTGTATTAGGTACAAAACCTGTAATTTTCATATAATATATGTATTGAGATACGACTGTCAGTATACTAATTTCTTTAAACTTATCCCTTAGTGACTGCCTATAACTACGAATATAAATTGCGCGAATAGCTCTCTTCTGACAACACAAAGACACGTTGAATGTCAGCAGCATTTCCTCACAACAAAATACCATATGACATCACACTATAAAGGTAGCTAAAATATACCAGTCAACCTGTTTCTACATCGGTAAATTGACGAATTGCAATTTAGAGTCTAGAGACCCAAAAACTTGGTGGAGTCCACAAGATCCAAATCCTTTCCATTTATTGGAATACTAGTTTTTACCTGCTTAACATTATGTGAAAAAAATCTAATATATTTAGTTTTATTCTCGTTTAAAGCCTGATTCTGAATGTTATTTGTACTATTACTAATTTTAGATCTTAAGTTAACCTTTGCAGAATTTCTGAAATTCTGAACAATATATGTTAAAAAAGCATTATATAATAATTGATTAGGATCATCACTATAACCCAAACAGGGTAATTTACTAAGCAGTTTATTTTTGAAATTTTCCATACGAGTTACAGTATTAGGTGCTACAGTGATATCTCGTGTTACAACTATTTTGTTTTTCATAGCAAAAGCATACATCTGTCGTCAGTGATCAGAATGTAGTTTTTTTTTATTATTAAAAGGTAACAACATTGTCTATGTAAATATAAATGAAGAAGGCAAGCACAAAATGACGATATAAACTAAATCAGATTTAAAATATAAATGAGTAAAAATAAAAACATACTATAAAAAATAATGTAACTGAAGTGTAACAAAGCAAATAATTTCAATAAAAGTCAATTCGATATAATTAAGAGAAAAAATAAATTTATATTATTATTATAAAGATATTGTAGTATTTCGTCTTTTTTATCTCGATTGCTTTGTTAAGTGTATACTTATTGAATCCAAGTATGAGGTAACATTGTTAGAAACAAGTTTCCGTGATGATTTCGATGACCAGCAACTTACCACTCAGTCGCCACATGTGTTTATAAATAAACGGACTCGTACACACGCGCTGAAATAAAAACAAAATCACGTGATAATTTGAAAATAAAATGGGTGAAAAAAGTGATAAAACCGTGGAACTTACTGATATTAATCACCAAAAAATTGAAACTACTGAAACTGAAGAAAAAAGTTCAATAACAGAACCGGTGTCTTGTGCTCAAAGAATTCGCATGTTATTTAATTTTTTTACTGTTGAACCATTTTTACTGTGCTACGTCTTGCCAATAGCTATATCCGGGCTAGCAGTACAGAAGTTAAATTTAGATAAAGCTTGCCAAGCAGACTTAGGTCTCTCCGCAGAAATTTGTCTTAGAGCTGTAAACGGAGACGTCACTGAGAACGACACCTTGGGTTCAGGCGCGCAATTAAATTCATCTATATTAGTAGCAGATATGACTGCATGGCAGCAACCTTTGCAGAGTGTTATACCTGCTATTGTTATATTAAATGTAGGAGCATGGAGTGACAAAACTGGAAACAGAAAAGCATTGCTATTAATACCTGTTATTGGCGAAATAATTTCATCAATTGGACTTCTGCTCGCCACATATTTTTTTCTTGAATGGCCTTTGTGGGCAACGGCTTTGATTGAAGCTTTGCCCTCGGCATTAACAGGCGGATATGCTATTGCGTTGATGGGCTCATACAGTTTGATAGCAGACATGACGTCAGTTGACTCACGTACATTTAGGATAGGAATGGTTGGAATTATCGTAACGTTGGGAGTCCCAGTTGGCACGTCTATTAGTGGTGTATTAACTGAAGCTGTTGGCTATTACGGAATATTCAGCATCAATTTGGCGTTGTACATTATTGGATTTCTGTATACGTTATTTCGGATTAAGAATGTAAGAACAACAAAAGTGGAAGGAACTTTAGGTCAAAAACTAATAGACTTTTTAAATCCCAGAAATGTGTGGGATACGGTATCGTTGTTATTCTTACCCAGATCAAAAAAACTTATACAAGTCATTTTAATTATTTTAGCACATATTATCATCATGGGTCCGGTTTTTGGTAAGTTAATTTTATGTGGTATATTAATAAATGCCTTATAACAATTTATGATGATTTGTAATAGAATTTTCTCGTTTGGGATATATGAATAAAACGTATATTTCAACGTCTGTCATGACTATTTTTAATGAGAGAATCGATAAAATATTCATAAATATATGTAATGATCGATGTGTAGACATGTTCATACTTAATTTATTGAATACCTTTAAATATTGTATTCTCGACATCCTCAACTTCATTGTGTAAATTATTAATGCTATGATATCATCGCAACTTGTAAGTGAAGTCAAAACTTTGTTTTTATCCCGTTACTTAATAATAGTGTCTAATTCATAACCATTAAAATAATAAAATCATTTAGCACGCCTAAACATCTTGGAATAAACATAGTATTTTTAATTTTTTAGGTGAAGCAGCAGTACTCTTTTTATACTTCCTCAATAGGTATCACATGGATGTAGTGGATTTCAGTTTTTTTAGCACTTATTCAATACTAATGGGAACTGCAGGTAAAATATGTGGCTTTTATTACATGGACTTTAATGTTCATCTTATATTCTGAAGATAATAATTTGATTATTTCCTGCTAGGAAGTAATTACAACGCAATCATATTCTGTAAGTTAAGGACGGCTAGATTTGTATTTTGAATTGGTTATCAAGTAAAGTAGTGACAACGTATGTTTGTTTGTCTGTTTGTTTATTGTAATCTCTGGTCATATTTTTTAATGTTAAAATCGTTGTGACTAAAACATTTGCTAGCAAATAATATCACTGAGCCACTCGTATATAGTATTTACTATGGAAGTGCAAAATAAAAAAAAGTGCATCACTTTTCTTTTAATTACCGTATTGACACTGAATGGAAAACCGAATCGAATCAAAACATGAGCTTTCGTCACTTCCTCTATGGCCGAAAACTAATGTTATATTAAAGAATGAACTCCTTGTCTCTGTTCAATTTCTAGTTTTTAAATGTCTGTTTTATTAAAAACGAGCGTAATAAGGTTTAACTTCTTGCAGTGTAATAAGGTTTAACAGAGCTTATTACGATAAGAGTATCATAATTTAAATTAAAAACTAAAAGGGCCTACTTATTTTATTAACTACTAGCTTTATATCGCGGTAAAAAGTAGCCTATATTATTAGCTGATTATGCAGCTTTCCATTGGTGATAGAATTTTTAAAATTTGTTTAGTGGTTTAGGCGTGAAAGCGTTATAAGCAAAGAAACAAACTCACTTTCACGTGTTCATTACAAGTGTGGATTTACCTAAAATACTTTTGTGTATTCACTTTTACACTATTCATATTCTATGATCAATAGTTACTCAATTATTTATCTAGAAAATAAGGGGATCAATTGGTATTACATACCCTTTAATAGCCTGACGTTTCAAGCAGGTTTCACTCTTCATTGGTCTACATGATATATAAAGCACAGATAAACTACATGCCAGATAAATTATTATTTAAAATACTCATATCTTTCAGGGTCCGCGGTTGCTGTTACACTATTCAGCAAGAAATTGAAAATGCATGACAGTTTTCTCGGCTTAATAGCGACAGTTTGCAAGACTATTTCAGGATATGCGTATGCCCTGGTGCCGAATAGAGATTGGTTATACGCAGTACCAGTTTTAGACTTTTTTGGTAATTCCGGGGCTATAGCCATCAGGTCTCTGGGTACTAAGGTTGTGGACCAGGATAAAGTTGGTGAGCATTAATTTTATACAGCACACATTTTATGATTTCCAAGAAATATTACATAGATTCCTTAAAATAAATTTAATTATATCCTTACATCAAATAAACAATTTCTTTCTTTATGAAAAAACAAATCAAGAAGAATAAAGGTGAATTTATGTCAATTAAGTTCAAGAATATATTTATTAGATTAATGTTATGACGTAAATATATCATTTATTTAAATTTATTACTATATTTGATATAAAGATACATTCAATTGTAATGCTGTAAAAACATTAAGTGACTTCAGTTTGTTTAAACAAAGGATTGGATGAAAGTCCCAATTTAATAATTTATTTCTCTGCAAGTTTCTTCTTACGCACTAAAAGTAAATTAATTGGATACTTCAGAGCTCTACGTAGATAAGAAATATTTTATTTTCGTTATTAAGAAATATAAAATATTATTAAATATATTAAATATAAATTATTATTATTATCATTATTATTATTTTTACGCTTTATATACCGATGCCGACTTAATGCCGTAGGCATTTTCTCCCAGTCAACCTTAGTAATATAATATTAAATTACAATATAATATTCATCGACTGTGCCAAATAACTCACAACAAACAACGAAACAGAGGGGGTTTGTTTTTTGTTGTTTTGTTGGTTGACCTTATCAACGAAGGTGATTGTGCTAAATGTACCTAATATAATATTCTCAAATTCTTTGCCAAAAAAAATCTGTAATAAAATTTCATCAAAAGTTAAGTCGTATTTTGATCATTAATTACCAGTCAACCCACATAATTAAAAAATAAGTATATCAAACAATTTAATATTACATAGAGCTATAGATTTCTAGAATAGATGGCCTACAATTGCGGATTTTATATTATTAAGACTCCAATCTTCACATAATACACTTTTGTGTAATATGTACGCTATGAGTCGTTGCCCTAATTCCATTAATGTAAATGATCACTAATCCTCTCCCAGGGTTTGTGAGGTGATCTCGCCACCCGATACAATAATAATATAATTGACTGCACGGATGGCGTAGTGGTTTAAGCAGTCGCCACGCCGCTTACTACTACGCTGAGTGTCGTGGGTCCGATCTTGACACGGGACGACACTTTGTGTGATACACAAATTGTCGTTCTGAGTCTGGGTGTTCTTCGTGTCCGTTTCATGTATGCTTTTAAAATCCCCTACGACACAGAATATATTCCTAATTCGGGACTTGTCTAAGAAAAAATAATATATGTATATGTATATATATATATAATTTTTCAAGTCCGGCTGCATCTACAGTCTAGAAAACAAATGTATAAAAAATCCTTGTAGATAAATACTACAAAAAAATTTAAGCAGTCTTAATATTCTGTTCATGAAATGAATGACATCCTCGTGATTTCTAATCTGGACTGTCACTTTACACAGATTCACATAGATGACAATACATGACATTAATTTTAAAAGACAAGTTTTGACTTAAGGATATAAAAACAAAATTTATTTTTACAATTTAATGAATAACTTCATCATACTAATAAAAATAATCTTAGTTTGTAAAATAAATGCAGAATTGTCGTGAATTTCTTGTTTTCGTCTGTTTTTATAGCAGGCTCTACGAACACTAATAAAGTCAATGTAACTTCTAATTTCCTTAAACATAACTTTGTATTTAAAAGTAAATTAAATACTTATACTTACAAAAGTAAATATATAGAAATAAAATAAGCGTATCAGACTTACCAAACGTATACTGCAGTTAAAAGCAATATAAAAAATATACGAAATGAGGAGTGAAAGACACCTTTTAGTTTAAATACCTAATAGAGTAAAATACACATAAACATGTATTTAATTTGTAGTTTTACCACAAGGACGAATAATCAAGATTATAACGCTCTTAAGATCGTACGACATACGTAATTGTAGTACCTGATCTTTTCTTCAGAATTAGGCTTTGGCTTGGATATTATGAATATTATCGACTTTAACGTTATAGTGAAATAATAAAAAATCGACTATTTTTTTACAGTGGTATGGTTAAATTGGTTGCTAGTAATTGTTAAGTTATTGAGTTACCTACTGATAAAAACATCTGAGAAAAAATTGAGAATATACAAACAATGATGATAGACGTCATGTTATGTTATAGATGTGGTAATATGATAACCGGTACCTCTATAAGAGAGATTAAAAGAAGCAGAGGTAAATACTGAGTGAGACTGTAAAAAAACATTATTTTAACAGTAATCAATTTTGATAGGCACGATTAAAAGGTTAATTATTACGAAATACCTAAGGCATTTATGACGTTGAGTTCAATTGTCAATTATGTTGAAAAATTATAAAAAAATCTGTTGAACATAAACGTGTGGGCAGATGAAGCCTTCAAGTTAAGAAGACACAGAAATTGAACGTTTTTTATGTTAATCACGGTCTCAAGGTGTGGTTTTATATTAAGCTGCTATATATAAAAAAGATGATACCGGATTCCGATGAATTTAATCAAAATGTCAAGCCACAAGAGGTTAAATGCTTGATTTGTTTTGAAGTACTTTATGTCAATATTGTTAAATATTTTGTTTTGCTGGGCACCTGTGAGATCAATTAGTAGGTAACAGGTTTGTGATGATAGAAAGGCTCACGAGCATGATATGATTAATATGTTTAATTTCTAAAGAACAAATTACAGTATTTTTAATAGCAGGAAGTGATTTGATTATTTAAGTATGAAAATTTAAAAGCTTGAATGAATAAAATATTCTGTCCGCTTTTTAACTGTGTTTGCCCTGCGTATCTTTTACCATAACCTGTTTGACATTCAGTCGCGCCATAAGAAAAACATTTTGTACAAATGACACATAAATCCTAGAACGACTATTTACCTAGTTACTTAATAAATAGCGCAGTACCAAAGAAAACAGTTAACGTAAAAGATGTATAGCCGCAGAACGTAAAATACACTCACACTTAAAATATCTTATTTTTGTTTAAATATTGATTATAACTAACCACTGTAAATTTGGCGATATTAGCTGATAGCGAGCATTGCTATATTAAATATTTACAAATTTTTAATTTTGTTTTGTGTAATCATAGTTTGTATAAGAAACATTTTTTTTTGCTTTCAGGTAAAATGTGCTCGCTAATAGGATTTGTCGAAACACTTATACCAGTCATATACATACCCTTATACAGCAAACTATTCTCATATACTCTGGAAACCCTCCCTGGAGCTGTATATCTTCTGGGTGGAACTATGACCATACCAGCTTTTATTATATTTTTGTAAGTTGCATTTAATTATTATTTTTTAAATAACATAATTTTAAGTTTGCTAAAATACTTATTTATAATAGATAGCACAAATGAAAAATACTTTTAATATTTAACAAACAGTAGGCTACATATTAATGGTATAAAAACATAAAAGCTAATTTAAAAAAGAAAAAAAAAACATGATAACAGTCACTCGATAGAAGTACGATAGCAATCGCCATACAATACGTAATACGGCCATAACATACTTGTTTACAACTTGCAATATTGCAAACTTGGTAATCTCCGCAGGCGTGGGTCCGGCTGTTTTTTTTTTTGTGATAGCTACCCTCTTTATTTATTTATTAAGCGTTTTATACTACATATTTATTTACTTAGATGTAAAAACAATAATATGTAATTTAAGTACCGCTCCGGCACTTGTTACTTACTATTTTTATCTTGTATTTTCTCTGACAAACGAATGTAAATATTCTTTTGAGGAAATAAATGTCTTAAGCCATAGCACAAATGCTCATTACACAATTATTTGTGTTGTTTAAAACCGAACCCACTACGCACTAACGTAGCAGTGAGCATTATTAATCAGTAGACCATATCTCTTCGTCGCAATATCATCCTTTGTAGTAGATAATTAATTTGTAAAACATAAATCGGTAGTGTCTTAAAAACAAGTATAAGGTATTAAAAGGTCAAGGTTGTTACTTGACCACGTCCACCATCGAGAAAAGTACCTGATGGAATTTGGTTAGCGTTTCGGTTGACAACTCGTTTTGCGGTTCTATTCTTTGTAATGTCCTGTGTACATTAATATGTCCGTGTCTTTGGTGTTGTCACGTTATTCGGTCAAAGACGGTTTTTATTGGTTGCTTAATACAGTGCTGTTATGTCAATTTTATCATTTTAACGACAATTAGGTCAGTGAATAAATAATCATTGACTATACTCTGATGGAAACGCATTGTTACTGTTTTTAGCAAAGTTTTTATTTTGGTCCCTCTACCTAGCTTAGGTAACTTAGGTAGCTAGGTACCTAAGCTAGGTAGAGGGATATAAAAAGGTTGCAAGTACATAAATTATTTATTAGCCTGAAGCGTCTTTTAGGAATTGTACAATCGGCACCAACAGTGTTTGAATCACAGTAAAATAAACATTTATAAATGGTTTATTTTGTTTTTTTTTCAGAGTTCTATACAGTATACATAGAAAACAAAGAAGAGATGTAGTAAAGAACCCCGGCGAAAAAGAGATGCACGCTCACGACAATTATATCACTTCACTATAGTTGTGTAAAAAGGATAGAATACGACTTTGTGGAATTTTTACCTATCCATGTGACACACAGAGTATAGGCATCGATGTTTCGCTTTTCTTGAACAAGTTTTGGTTTGAAATTTTTAATGATCTTTATTTTTGTGTCTGTGTCTATAAATTTTTTAAGATACGTCACATGTTACTAGCATTCTTTTAATTAATTACAATAAAATACAAGTGGAATTCAATTACTCTTTTACAAACTCCATCATATTGGAAGACAATCCGGGACTGCTGCCGGAGAACTGGAATGCTTGAAAATTCATCTTACTATTTTTATATAAAATTATTCATTGCCTGAAACTTGATTTAAAAACTTACATTGAATATTTCTGTGGAGTGTGTTTATGCACTAAAACATATTTGTTTTGTGTTGATTCTTCAATGGCATATTTAAATCTTGTTCTAAAAATATAGCGTGATTGCCATTGCTACCAGGTTATCTCTATTATTGTATTGTCTACCATTTAGAAACCCCACACATTTCTTTAAGGCAGTAATGTACAAAAAATCTATTTTAGTTTAGTTGAATGAGAGATATTTTTCATTGATTCCTTGCTTTCGGGGACACTTATTGGATATTGTTTTAGTTTTTTAAATTAATGAATAAATTTTAAGTGTTAATTTTAATTGTCTTTCTCTTTTACCCGTTCCGTTTGCCTGTAAGTTTTATGGATTCTTTTTTTTTAATTTTACAACTAAACTACGCTTTACAAAAACTATTTAGGTATTATATTTTCCTGAAGTTATTAAATCTCCTCTATATATACATATCAATGGCATACTTTACTATAGGTACTGTAAACATACATATATTTAACATAACTTTTCTGGGATTTATTAAGTCATTTCACTATTCGGCCAAGTATTTAGTACCGATTCCTATTGTATTGCAATTATCTTAGATCGTAGTGCGATGGAACCAACTGCAATATCTGAAGATACTTTCTTTGTGATTAAACACAAGACAACTTTAATAATTATTATACACAAGTCGGTGATAAATTCTGTCGTACAAAATGTCAAGTGAAATATTTAATTTATGCTTCACAACAATACACACATATATCTATGTAAGGTGTAATAAGCAAAATTCCTTTGAATATCTTTTGATGGATGTTTGGATACTGTTTAATTTAGTTTAGCTTTACTTTAGTAAAAAGCAATCTGAGAAAAGTCAGAACTTTGTTTTGTGCGATAAAACTTTGATTTATTTATTTTATGCAGATCCAAAAATAGCTATTACCAATTTACTTTATTAACATTATATATGCTACGTCAATCGCAAAACATCTGAATGAAAAATAAATAGGACATACTACGCAAAGGCACCTTTGTTTACCCTTATTTTGCTCGTAAAAGCCTAGCGTTAAATTACAATATGCATTATCAACGATTCACAGTCTCGTCTTCGAGTGACATTAGATCATTATCTGTTAGACAATACTCTAACACTCTCGTAAAAATGAATTTTGAAACCACTTCGGGTTTGACCTAGATTAACTACTACTGACCTACCTCACGGAAACACCGCGATAAACTTCACCGTTGAATGAATGACCTTATGACGTTAGTTATTAGATAACGAAGATAATAGATTCTTTGGGCACTTTTACATATCAATCAGTCTAGTAGTACTATACAATGCATAATAATATTTCCTACCAAACAAACTGAGTGATCCAAGTCCAAATGAAATTGAAAAGTGCATCATTTAGGTGTCAATGAAACGTCATCGATCGCTACTAAAAGGTCTATTAAACACACGTGGTCGCATGAATGACATACCGACAATGGGCAAGTCCCAACAGTCAAATTGATGAATTCTTATTTTAGTTCAAAAGTATTGAGTGAATGATCGATTCTTCAAGAATTTTACGATACTTTTAATGGGGTTACAAACACTTCCATAATAAAAAAAAACAGTTTAAACAAGTAATGTTTAAAATCTATTATATCACTGAAGTAAAAAAAATATCAACATTACTAGTTAATATGTAAACAAATCGTTCGTGGATTTTAACGTACTTCTAATTGTCAAGTCGATTTGAAGATTTGTAAGTCTAATAAAAACAATACAAGTGGTGGAGAAAAAAAAACCCATCTAGTTCCATACATACAACGTTTCTCTGGTATTAAGACGTATACTAAACAGGTAATTTAATGAAAAACACTATCACCAATGCCTTTTTTGCTATGTTTAAATATAAAGGCTTTTTTTTTGTATAAACATTTAATAGTGACATGGATGGGTCTGAATGCTCATTTATATTTCCAGCCAACACACCTATGTCTATGCAAGTAATTGCAGGTAAATACTTTAATCATCTATAAAATTGACGAAAACGTGTTTTCAATAGGAAAATCATGAGATAAAGTAGTTTTATAAAATCTCAAGGACATCTTTGATGTGATTTGTGATAAAATCCTTGGAATACGGATATATAATTTTTTTGATTTGTTGTTTTCACCTTTACTCTGAGAGTTCATTTACTTTATTTAAATAACAAAAGTACTTAAACGTTCTTATTGGAAATCTTAAAAATGCGAAGTCTGAAATGAGAAGCACACATATTTGGTAAAAAAAGTGCATAAGAAAATTAACTCTTATTATGCAATCAAAAACCTCCACTAGAGTTTGAAACAAATAATACTAACTTTTACCCATAACCTAAAACATCTGATTACTACCATACTTCATTTATAATCGATTACAACTACCTACATCGAACTGTGATAAATACAATACAAAGCGATGAAAAGATAGACGAGTCAAACTCATATTTCATTATTTCATAAAATGTTATTAAAATAAATACAGTCGTGCTGCTACACTTTCAAGTGTTCTTCATAAATAATAGATTTGATACTTTGTACTGTAGTCAATGCCAATAATTTTAATTGGTTTATATAAAAATGTTAAGTTGGTTTGTGTACGCTTCAAAAACTAAAAAGTTCGGCACCAATTGTGCTCAAACTGTGACACGATATACAACCTACTTTAAAGATGGTTTTTGATCTATTTTTCGTGTTAGTTTTGTTGCTCATTTCTATGCTATAGCGAAGCGTGGCAGGGTGCAGCTAGTAGTATGTTTTATTTCTACTATAAGACTGAAGAATATATACTATTTTAAATATGCGTCCCTTGGTAACTGGTATATTTTAAATAAAAATCACCTCCACTGAATTTCTAAATCACTTTAATATTTTCAAAAATTTAAAGCTAAACGTTCTCCGCGATCAAAATTAGTGTAGCTTATTCAATTTTTAAGTGGTAAACATGTTATCAAAAATTCATACATATTTTATGTCCACTGGGTCACCAATGAAAATAAAGCTGGAATTTTTTTATTCTGTATTTCAGTTTAAAATATTCTAATGTTAAAAAAGCTTTGTGATTTCTTCTGCCAGTATTTATATGTACTTTCATCAATTAAATGATGGTCAGAACAACCTTTAGGAAAGTTTGACTATTTGTTAATTAATGATACACGTAAGTAAATTATACATTTGATAATTAACAAATTATAAATAATCAACATACGGATTGATGCTCAAATTACTTTTATAAAATAAAAGTAAAATAATGAGGAATGAAAAATTAAGGGATACTCTTGCCACTGAACCAAAATCACTAAACAAGCAAAACACGCAGTCAAATTATACTGAGTTTTTGCTACGGTGAAAAATGCGGGTTAATAACAGACAGGTATATAAATTTGTTCTAGCTATTTGTACCCCAAAAAATTATTACAAATAAAACTGAATGTAATGAAAATAAAAAAAACGATAAGTTTTCAATGAAAAAACAGTGTAATTTTGTACAGTCTGACGTCAACATGAATAAACAAAAAAGATGTTAAAAATTCAACTAGTTTTCATCATTTTAGGCAGGCAGGCTTCTCTCTAATGTTAAAGTATTTTTTTTTAAATTTATAGTTAAAGTATGTAATCCTTTTTTTTTTTTTTTTAACGTGTGGAAATCCCCTCGGACCGTCACCCCACCGGGGTTTGCGGCGGGGTGGTGTGTCGGACTCGGACCGACTAAAACCACACGGTGTGCCACTCTGCGCCTGTAATAGGAGGGATCCGGGAACAGCTGTTGTTAAGACATCCGGACCCCTCCTAGCGCCTGCCCGCTCCTGGTGCGGGCTCCGTCTCAAAATGTTAACCTCTCTTTAGGCGACGTCCGGCACATGCGGACGCCGCCCCCTCGCGGCTGGCCAAACTAATGCGGGTGGAGGGGAAACCCACCCCGTCCACCCGCGGCCACACTCAGGGCGGCATGAGGCTGTGATAGGCGGGCCTACGCCGCCCGGTTCGCCGGCGGCGGATCGGGTCCGAGTGGAGGTCGTCCGCCCGGGCCCTCTCCGCCGCCTCCTTCCGCGAGATTACTACCTCGCAGAAGGTTGCGACCGCGGTAAAACAACTGTCGCTACCGGCCATGGAGCGTACTACGGCCGGTAGCGAGAGATCCACTCCGATGACCGCAGTGAGGGCCCGGCGCTGCGCCGCCCATGCGGGGCAGACCGCCAGCGTGTGCTGGGCCGAGTCCTCACTGCAGTCGCAGTGGTGGCAGGCGGGACTCAGTTCCCTCCTAGCGACCGAGTGCAGGTACTTTCCGAAGCAACCGTGCCCGGAAAGCACCTGCGTCAGCCGGAAGGAAAGGGTCCCGTGCTGCCGCCCTGCCCACTCGGCGATGACCGGCTGGAGAGCCTCCACGGCGGCGAAGCCAGCGCGTGGAGTCTCCAGCCGGAACGACCAACGAGCCATCGTGGCTCGGCGAGCGGCTTCGCGCCACTCGCGCACATCCTCGGGCGGAGGGCGAAATCCGCTCTCCGCCCGGGAGTCAGCCACTCGCCGATAAACTTCGGCGAGCACTTCCGCCTCCAAATCCCACGGGGGAGTTCCGGCCAACGCGCATGCCACCTCCGTCGAAACGGTGCGGTAACCGCGTATGGCTCTGACCGC